CATGCAGCTGTAAAGATTTGTCACTGCAGACCAGAAATTGAACTTTTAGAAGTTTGTTTTTAGGCCATATTATTTCCCCAGAGTTTACAAGAGTTCTTTTGGTGACCGCTCCCATTCCACTTTCTGCTGTTGCCAACACTGTGTGTGATGTAATCAGTTCTGTTGTAGCGAAGCTACAGATTCAACAGCCAAATACATTTGTGGCAATAACTGGTGATTTAAATTTTGCCTCACTCTCTGCTGCACCGCCCATTTTCCAATAGTTTGTCATCTGCTGTACAAGAGAAAAACCTTGGACTTGGTTTATGCAAATATGAAGGACTTCTACATCTCTACAGTAAGACCTCCTGTTGGGAAATCAGATCACAATTATGTTTTTCTCAGCCCACATTTAAAATTACTGCACAACGTTGGTCACATGAAGCTGAAGAAGACCTGCAAGGTAGTTTTTGATATTACAGACTGGAATGCACTGTGTCAGCCACATGGAGAGGACATAAGTGCAATGACAGAGTGTGTGACTGACAACTTAAACTTCTGTGCAGATAACACCATCCCAACAGAACAGTAAAATGCCTTCCAAATAATAAACCCTGGATCACAAGCGATCCGAAGTAATTGCTTAAGAAGAAAAAAGAGCCTTCAGGAAGGAATACATGGAATTACATGAGTATAAAGAAGCATCTTAAGGTCAAGATATGAGAAAGCAAGGAGGCATAACGGAAGAGGCTGCAGAGCAAGCTACAGCAGAATAATATTAGAGTTGTGAATGGGGATAAGTGAGATCAAAGGCTTAAGGAAAAGGATGGTATCAGACAGATGGTAGTATTGATAGAGCCCAGCTAAGCTAAACAGATTCTACAATAGGTTCAGTTTAGTAACATGCTAAGCGTATTTCTCTCCTACCCACAGTTAAATTAACATCTCACCCTCCTTTGACCTAAAGCTTATCTGTTACCCCTCAAATGTTTTATCTTCTATCTCTGCAATTGGCCCTTCTGCTTCTATGTGTTTTTTTTCCCCCCAGTCAAATCAGATGATTGAGGCTGCCCCCTCCACCTTTTACCTGTGTGTTTCTAGAAGTGAAGAGAAAAGGCAGCTAGAGAGACTGAATAATAAGTCATCAGGTGCAGATGGTGTCAGCCAAACATTCCTGAAGGCCTGTGCAGAGCAGCTCTGTTGGATTCTATATCACCTTGTCAACCATAGCCTGACCTAGGAGATGGTCCCAGTGATGTGGAAAATTACCTACCTTTGTTCCAGTACCAAAGAAAGCTCTCCTTACCATCCTCACTGACTATAGACCTGTTGCCGTGACATCCCACAACATTAAGGTCCTAGATATACTCCTGTTGGACTAAAATGCAGCTACCATAAACCCCTCAAGTCTGCTTATGGTTGTGAAGTTGGGGTTAAAGATGTCATCATACCCCTGCTTCAACAAACTGCCATTTAGACAAGGCAGACAACACTGTGAGGATAATATTCTTTGATTTCAGCCGTGCATTTAACATGATTCAACATGAATTACCTTGTGAGAAACTCCAGAAAACTCAGGTGGAGGTATCATAATTATTAAGGATTAATACCTTTAATGTTCACCTGGACAACATACTCAACTGGAGACACAACTGTACAAGAAAGAACAGAGCAGACTGTACCTCTAGAGGAAGTTTACGTCCTTTGGCGATTGCAGAAAGCTGTGAGGTATCTTCTATAAATCTGTTGTAGAGATTGTCGTCTGTTTTTTTCTCATTATCTGCTAGGGCCATAGCATCAGAACAAATAATTTTTAAAAAAGTTCAACCAGCTAATAAAGAAAGTTGGCTTTGTTCTAGGAACCTCTCTAGAACCTCTAGAGATTATTTCACAAAGAAGGATGCATCTTAAAGGAAATAAATTATACATTTCGACATAGATAACAGTTAGTTCAGAGGTCAGTGCACTATATACAGTAAGCACATCAACAACAAAATAAAGATAAAGTTACTCTTCCAAAGAAAAAGGGGAAGTAAGCATTAAAAATTAGCAATGTCAAATAGCAGCAGATTTCCTGTTCAACATAGGGAAATAAAAATTTTATATAAATGTTCATGAATCTTTCTCAGTAGTATTGCTTCATGGTGTTTGACATGAATGCAAATAAAAGGCAAAACACATACTTAACTTTTTTTTTAAATTGATATAAAAATGTCTAAACTACAAAAAAATCTAACATTAGGCTGCACTATTCCGGAAGGCCTCCAAAGAACAACATTTAGGATGGATAATGGAGTTTAGGAACCAAATAGCTTTTATCCTGCTACAACAGACAAACAAAACAGAGAAGGAACAACAGAGGCGGAAAGCCCACAAGATGCAAAAAAGCTAGTTTGCTCTAATGCATTCAGATTCCAGTTACCTGCTGATTTTAGCTCTGGTTCAATATGTCCTTCACCAATTTAACTAAATCATCCCCACGATAAGTGCAAATGGAAGTAATGTGGTTCATGCCACGTTTTCATTACTCAGATAGTAAAATATGATTCCACCAAAACCTCAAAAGTAAAAAATGAAAGAGGAGCCAATCTTCCAGGGCTGGTTAAAGTCTGTCTCACTGTTGTAGCAGCTGGAATGACCAATCGACATGTTTCTAAAAGAAAAAACAAAAAACAAATGTTCCTTTCAGTTTTCCTACTGCTGAAAGCTATAATGCCTATGGCTTCCTGCTCTCTGGTTCTAATTGTGTTAAAGTTTAAAGATTTTTTTTTTTCATCTCTAACAGACTGTCAAACCCATTGTCATCATTAATGTTCCACTGTTGGTTGAATTTGTATTGTGCCACACAGATGCAAACAGTTAATGGGATTTTTGGAAAGAAAATGGCATTCTAAGTCTCCCGCTGAAGCAGACATGTTTTTGTTGTATTTAAATACATATAATTAGCAAAACTCTACAGTAAATGTGTTCTTATTTAGAAAAAGTCAAACTCAAATTTATTTATTTACCTATTTGTAGCCCCTCAAAAACTAAATTTTTTGGCACATTCTGACCACTGGGTGTGGAAAACAAAAGCATTTCTTTTGATTTTAAGTATTTAATGAACTTGCAGTAGAACCAGCCCTGATTTAGTGGTAGAACCTCGACCTTGGTGAAAAGCCCACTAAGTTTTAGACTTTTATACATCTCAACTTCTGCATCAAAGTGTTGCTCTGATAAGGTCCCACTTGCAATACTGTATGATTGTATCTAATGGATGTCTTCTAAAATGTCAGTGTTTTTGTTTAGTCTTTTAATTTAGCTAATCTGTTGGTATTTTTGTGGTTTAATATAATTAAAATGATGATGGAGGTGGTATTTTTTTGGTTTATTTTTTTGGCTTTTCCTGTGTTTAGTGATTTCTGCTGTTTAGAATGAATAATTGTAGTGTGCATTTTTCAAAAATCTATTTTGTGCCTAAGTAGTATTGTTACTTATAGGTAGATTCTAAAAATAAAATCCTTATTAGAAGTATTTTTTTGTGTTATGTAAGATACTAATTGGATGGTTTGTTATGGGGGTAGTGTGCATGGATGCTTATACCAAGAGGATACTGGATCATTACACTTGAGCTTGTGCTGTTTATGGGCCTGTGTTTGTTTTATTTTGGTTCAATGCACCGTGTGGGAGGATTGCTGGCATTGGTGGGAACCTCAGCACGGTTTAAGGCGTCCGATTCAATCTCATTACCCAACCATCTCGAAAAGGAGTCTGGATGAGCCTTCGATTTCTAACAAATGTGAAATGGAAAGAAAGAGCATTTATATGAGGAAAAACAGCGTAAAAATTGTAGGCTCGTTTTAATCAGCGCAGCAGAAAGTTACTCATCATGCTTTCTGTTGAGTTTGGAGCAGTTTAGAAAGTGAATGGAGGAGGTGGATTTGGCTCCATCAACATGAAAATGGCACACACACACAAAAAGAAAAACGGGAGCTTCATTGAGCTGCTTTTAAAAATTCAGGGGTTTTAATTAAGTTTTAGTCAAAATAAATAAATTTATGTTTTATTTATTTCATGGCAAAAATATTAAGAAAATACTAATACTGTCTTATTGTGATTGTTTGGGAATTTTTTATTTTTTTGTGGTTTTACTGATGAAGTTAACCAAAAACCTCTGCTTTATTTTAGTTTTGATTATTTGTATTTTATGACTATCCTTACATCTAATAGCAGAATTTTAAATATAAATTACAGTTCAGTCAATGTTTTCCACATAGCACTGAGAAAGTATCGCGTATATCATCATCCTGTCAATCTTTTCCATGTCATAAATCAATGATAAACAAACTTCTAAAGATAATTTGTTTTCTAAAGCTCCCATGTATCTGAATTTATTTCCTTTTTATTTTTATTTTTGCCTCCACCATCCTTCTGTATAGATAAGTTTACAACTATCTGTCTAATCTCCTGATGCCATTAACAGCAGGAGGTTCAGGGCAAGGAAGCACGTCTCCATAAATATCACTGGTAAATGACAGGTTTTTGTGTCAGTAGCTGTAAATCAACACACTTCTCTGTCATATTTTTCTGTAACACTCCACAACCACACACTGACGCTGTCATTGCAGAGCAGAGAAACTGCAGGTACCAATTTTACCAGTGGTAACTTTGGTGAAGGCAGAGAAAATGCTCTGTGCCGTATAAATAACTGGAACAGGAGGAAGTCACAGAGGAAAACTACAACTTTTCACAAATAAACTCTGCTAAATATTACAAGGTTGATGCAACCTTAAAGGAAATTCATGTAAAAGCAGCTTTTTCCCTTAATTTTTTTCTTGTACCTGTACCCCAATGAGAAGAACTCCAACCTTAAGCAGACATGAAACAAATTAAATTGAATAGCCGTGCACTTACATCCCGATCTCCAAACAGTCCTCAGAGCAAACTCAATTTTATAAAGAGGTGCTTTGTTAGAGGACATGTGGGTGAAATGGATTGATGCAAATTTACTGACAGGTTTCTTTGTTACTGTTTATCTTCAGAAGCGGATTTGAACAGGATGTGGAGAACGGCTACCATCAGCATCCCGATACCTGTCACGGTGAGACGCAAAACCCTTTATTTACATTGATTAGTTTGACAGGAGGTTTTTGTATAATAAAGTTAAAGTTGCATAGGGGCTTCTTCACATATAAAGTTTCTCCTTTTAAAATAATTGAAATTTGGGCTCTTTGGGGAATTTTATTCAAGAAAATCTGCTAATCCTTGTATCTGATTGGAGATTGAACGCATCGAGCTGATCAGACTCAGGCTCTGAAGCGTTTTTTATGTTATGAATCTTACTGCAGCTGTTAAAAAAAAAACACTGAGAATATGTCACATTCCTTTTGGAGTGTTTTCCAGGCAAAGCTGCTTCATTTTGCTTTAACTCCTCAAACTGTGGTAGTTTATGAACCCTCATCCCTCATCAGCTGCTTCCCATCTCATTCTTATCTACAGTATGAATGTGAAACCATGTATCAAAATGATCACATGCAAAATAATATACAAGGTTTGACTGCAAGACAAAAAATATGGCCCTTTGATTAGAATGGGTAATCATACCGATTACGTTTAACGGCCTATGGTCAAGGGACAATTTTTTTTAATAGATTTAGCTCCCCTCCAGCAGCAATTCAGTTGATTTTGTAATTGTTTGAGAAGCAGTTTTTCAGTTTTGAGTCAAACATTAGCGACCATTTTGCATTTGATCATTTTCATATGAAAAATCTTTTTAAAAATGGTTCCATTATAATCATTCGGCTTTGAGTGTAAGATGGAACAACCTGAATTTTGTTGTAATAACTTGTTCTTTTTTCACTTCAGACGTCTTGGCGACCACACGCAAGCACAATCCAGCTCTCGATTCAGCTTATGGTCAGTGGGCATATTTTTTATCTTATTTACTAACCTGCTTCTACTCAGAACACCTGGATCAACAGGCTTTGATTTTATTTTACTTTTCAAATATATTTTACATATTTCTTTCTCTTTTTTTTTCCCTGTTGTTTTTTTTTTTTCTTAACCCCTATACAAATAACAGTTTTTTATTCATTCTGGTCCTTTGAAGGGAACATTTCATAATATGCACATTATTTCTATGACCTCTAGAGTACAACGTACTCTAGTATAAAGGCCAGGCTTTTTTTTTTTTTGAGAATAAATAAAGTAACAAAATTGTAATATTACAAGAATAAAGTTGTAATATTACAAGAATAAAGTTGTAATATTACAAGAATAAAGTCGTAATATTACGAGAATAAAGTCGTAATATTACCAGAATACAACAATCCGTTTCAGAAAGAACGCTTCGAGCTCTGACCGGCACAAGATGGCCGACCAGCTCCACCAAACAGCAACTTGAGTCCACTTTGACCTACTGCCCAATATGATGCTGGTGCTAAAAGATTTCCTTATTTGTCAAACCAGAGCCAAAGTATAACTTCGGATTATGCTCAATATTCCTCATTTTAGGGAAGACAGTGCTTCTTGTAAGAGTTGTCATAAAATACAACTTGTTTCTCGTAATTTTAGGAATTTATTCTCTTAATATTACGACTTTATTCTTGTGATTTTATTACTATTCTCATTGTGACTTTATTCTCTTAATGTTACGACTTTATTCTCAAAATTTAAGAAAAAAAAATCTCTAATACTCCTAATACTCCGTCATACTAGAGGACTCACATACATAATGTGATATTATTATATTTTTGGATGCATTTGTTTATTTACTACTCGGTTCTCCCATAAATTCAGGTAAATGTGTTCCTGGATTGTAATTCAGGCAGCAAATGCAGATAATACAGGAACATATTTTGATTAAACAGCTTTAGACAAAATGACTAAATGCTTTTTGAATTAATGTCAGGGCTTTGTTTTGTGTGAGAAAGATTTTCAACTCATATGACTCATGATGCTTTGCTATTTCTATTTAATTGGGGCATGTTTACAGTTTTTAAAGTCTTCAATTTCAGTTAAATTACGAAACAATGGTACTAAAAGGACATTAATAATAGTTTAAATGGGAGCGATGAGGTTTCTCAGAGCTGATTCGCTCCTGTAAAAAAACATAATGATAAACTTCAAGACATAAGACTCAACACTATGTCTTCAATAAAATGTATTTTTTTATAATTATAAGTGGAATGTAAATTGATTTAAATCTAACTATGAGGGAGGTTTTGAGGCAGCTAAATAGATGGAGTCTCTTCTCCCTCTCTGCCAGTTTGACAGTTTAAACATTGAAGCCATTGTGTGGGGCAACACTCCTCTGATGGACCAGGAGCTCCGCTGGCCAAGCTGCCTAATGCCCTGTATCAAGAAAGATCATCATCCCTGTCACGTCCCATTACTTCTCCCGCCAGCCAGGCTGAGCGGCTGCTGGCAAAGCCGGAATGAAAGGCAAAATATAGCGGGTTGGCAATATCTCATCAGAGTGAGGCAGTGCCTGGATGCTTGCAAAATGCAACATTTGCTTTTATACTTAGATGTAAAGCTCCTCTTCACCATTTTTTCTGAAAAGTTGACATTTCTTTTTTTTTTCTTTTCAAATATAAAATTAAAGCATGTAGTACACAATGATAAGAGCAGATTCAAATCAGTGATTAGTGTCAATGTAGAGCTTTCATCTTAGCAGGCATGAGAGATTATTGCTCAGCCGAACCATGTTCATCACTCTTGTTTCGTTGTCTGAAAAAAAAAGCCATGTTTTTTTCCCCAAGCCTTCACTTTGGACCAATACAACCCCCCCAGTAAGCTTTCCAACTGGAGGAATTGCAACCCAATAGAAAGACTTGATGAGCAATCCACAGCTTAATCCTGCTGGGTTCTCAGCACCAAGATGCTTCGCAGCTCTGTTTGAAATGCTCAACATTCAGCCTGATCCTCAAATGTTGTCTCTAATTGTTTTTGGGTTTTTTTCTTGCTGACTCACAAAAAAAACCTTTTAAATTCCTCCACTTCAGATCAATTATTGGCTCTTTTAGACAATAAAATGCCCCATATGTCAAACAAAGCTGTTGTCATGAGGGATTCTATTTCCCTTTAAAAAAAACAACAAAAACAAATGGGGTTTAGTCTTTCTATCCTTTTTCCTACCCACACAATCACACCAGGCTGCTGTGTGATTGGTTAGATCAAGAAGCTGATCTTGTTACTGATTATTTCTTGGAGGGTAAAAAAAAAAGATCAGTTATGAGATTTAACTTTACCATTCCCGAAATTTAATTCTGGCAGACTATAAAAAATAATGATGAAGCAGTGGCACTGACGGGGCCAAACACCCTGTGGTGTGCGTTTTTAATTTGCCCAGCACAGATGGTGAAGTGACGGGACACCTCATTCGGAGTGAATACTGTCAACTGGCTCACAGCGAGGAAGAAAACAATCACTTTCCCTCCAGCCGAAGTGTCAGTGCTGCAGAATGCTAACGTTACTGCTGGCCTATTAGTGCTTTAGGGCCACGCCAAAAACAGCATGCTGCTCGCCGCAGTTTAAGGACAACAGAGAGCTTTCAGTTCAATCAAGACATGGAGTGTGTCATTGAAATTAATTTGGTAATAATACAAGGCCTGTGGCGGATAATGCCCAGCATGTTTCTTGGCATATGTCTGATTTGTGTGCTTGTCTGCTCCAACATGACGGTTGGGAATAAGCCTGGATGTTAAATATTAAACGGATTGCTTTTAAACAGAGCTCCTCTAGTCTAGGTAGGAAGGTTACATGGGCTCCACATCCTTCCTTAGGTGTGTTTTTCCAAAGTAGTCAGTTTTTAAAGCAGCAGATCCATCTCCCAGCAAGGAGATTATTTTTTTTTTGTAGGCAAGAATAGGCAGCTTCATTTGTATAGCACATTTCAGCATCAGGGCAATTCAGAGTGCTTTACATAAAATCAGTAAAAAATAAAAAATAAAACACTGAAGAAACAGTTAAAAATAAAAACAAATGAAACACAAGAATAAAAATTCCAGTATAAGAGATTAAACGGTAAAGAAATGAACGTCATTTAGAGAAAGGCAACATCAAAAAGAAAGTCTTCAGCATTGATTTAAAAGAACTGAGAATAGCAGCGGACCTGTAGGTTTCTGGGAGTTTATTCCAGATGTGAGGACCATAGAAACTGAAAGCTGCTTCCCCCTGTTTAGTTCTGACCCTAGGAACTAAACATCGTAATTCATGAAAGGGTCATGAATTAAAATGACCCTTTCATTGTAATTCATGCAATGAAAGGAGGAGTTTCTTTTGATGGGCAGGCTATGCTTGTCTTTCAAAAACCGTACCAGGACGATACGCTTATGTAAAGCAGGATAGAAATAGGTGGGACAGAAGGACAGGTCAGTATTATAGAGTGAAACGGGAGAAACATTTGGATAAATATGAACAAATAGTAGCCTACTAAACTAGCCCCACCCACCAGCGGCCAAAATCATTTTTGCCTGCGAGTTTGGCCTAGCCTCGATTAATGCCCCAGGCCCTAAAACTGGCGGGCCAATCACAAAGCAGAGATGTGTTTTGAATTTCTGGATGCAAAGCAGGTGGGATTTTGAGGGTGTGACGACAAAGCAAAGAAAGCACAACAAGGAAGATGGCAACATCTATTGAACAGTTCTCGTTTGACTCAGTTTTGGAAGGATTAGACTGGGGTTTTTTTGTTGAAACCTGAGCAGGAAGAGGCTCTGCGCTCATTCATGTTTAAGAAGGACGTATCCGCCATTTTACCGACAGGCTGTTTGTTTACACTCCCCCACCAGCTTCCTGTCGCGCTAACCACGTCACAGTCAGTTGCGCACATAGGTCAGAACGTTGGCCAATAGGCACAGAAATGGCTGAAAGACAACGGTTGTTCTCATGAACAATCTTCTGATGTCTCATTCATCAGGGCTAGACTAAATTACACATTTGATCTCAAATTTAGTCTGCTTTATCAGGCTAAACAAATAGCATCGTCTCAATGTTTTTCCCTAATGCTAATCGGCCACATGCATTAACAGACACATATTACACATGTAAACTGTCTCATTGCAATTCCTAATTCTAAATGTTGCATGACAATCTGATGTATTTGAATGAAATTAAACAGTAAGCTAATACTAATAAGGAAAAAAAATTTATACACATTTTGCAATGTGGTTAGCATTTTGAAGCTGGGTACATTTCAGAAGTTTAACATTTAAGAAATGTCACACTTTACAAACTTTAAGGCCACAGCTAGTTCAAAGTGTCCATTTTTAATTAGAATATGGCTTAATATTAAAAAAAATCCTGTTTTACAGAAGAAGAATGTAAGCAGTGGATTTAGGTAATAAAAGGACATTTGAAAGTATAATTTTCTTATTTTCATGTTTGATCTTATCGTTTTTTGTTTGAAAATTACTAGTAAAGCCAGACTAGAAGAGTAAAACCTTGTTTTACAAGGCCTGAAATTAGAAGAAGATTGGAACTTTGATCTTGACTTTTTATATCCACTACTTTACATCCAGCAATGCTCTGATTGACTCTGCAGGGCTTAGGACTGAATTTGTTAATAAGAATACTCACAAGAGGAGGGTCATTGACAAACCAGCCCTTAGGTTATTGGAACAGATGCTCAATCAAAGGTTTAAAAATAGAAGTATAGGCACTTTTAATTTCAGTTATCAGGGAGTTTAGGTGAAATAAAACTAGACATTAATGGACTTTATAAAGAATGTGTTTGTTGCCTTGTAAAAAGTAGTATAGCATTTCTCTACATCACCATATACATTTTCAACCCTGACCATGGAGCTCCAAGTTTACCTTGGAGTAAACTTTTCTCTTGCCTTCGCATTCATTCACCCATACTTCTGTTGCACAGCAGTTCAGTTTAACAGCCTTCTAAGTGCAAAAATATTCTACAAGAGAGCGGACAGTATCCAGCATCCTACATCACACCACAAGAAAGATTCACGTATTTAACAGGTTAGGAAACACCACTCCCCCATCCGTTGCTCCACACTGCCATTTAGCTGGCTTAAAGATGGGGGCAGATGTTTTTTCTTTCTTTCTTATTAGAAAACAAATCAAATGAACTGTTAGAAGATATCTACTGTTGAAAAATAGTCTAAATCAGGGCTAATCATTACTCGTTTTAGGGTAATTGAGGGTAATCTGACAGTATTTCTGTTAGCAAACATAATATGTTAGTAAATGTAATTTTAAGTAGGCTGCTCAAGCGAACGGCCCAACTTATTAAAAACAAACAAATCAGTCTGCAGTGTATTCCACCAACAAGAGGTTAAAAACTTCCAACACTTTTCCAAGTGTATGAATCCAAATCAAGATGATAAATAACAGTATTATCATTTATGGCATTTTTTTTTTACAATAAAATTATTTAATACAGTTTTTTTTGCGCTTTAAAACTATACAATTCATATTTTAGGTTTTCATATGCCAGGAATCAAGCCCTGGTCCATACCTCTCAATGTGCACTGAAGATTAGAAATTTTAAAAAGAAAATATTAATATATATTAAAATAGGTAAATTTAAAAGTTTACGTATATGCATACCGGACATGAGCTTTAAAAAGATTTCTAAGGTCGAGCAGGGGCTACCTGCATTGAACAGAAGTAATTTTCTTTACTTTCAGCATTATGCCTCTTTAACCCACATCTAAAATTGTTTATTGTCGCTCCTGTCATATAGAACCATCTTTCTGCACTACAGCCCAACTTATTTTAAAAGTTGAGCTGATGTATGTAACAGCTTTTCAGTCTTTCATTTTGACTCATGTGTTTCCAGCATGAAACATACATACTCCATAGTACTAGTATTAGACCACATGCCACAATGGTTTCAGTATTTAACAAAGAACTTGTCATAGAGACGCCTCTGTTCTTCATGAATCTGTAGATCCTCTATTTGTCCATAAATGTAGCAAATTTCAGGGAAGGTAAGGGAATAAAATCTGTTATGTTGTCATTAGCATCTGCTGTGTGTGATCATCATGTTGCTCATCATTATAAGGTGTTTGCTTTAACAGGTGAAGGTTTCCTTTCCACTCAGGACTCATCCTCATTTCTCTAAAGTTTATTCTCCACGCTGTGTCACATTTCACTAATCACTCACTCTGTTGCCCTCCCTTCCTCCTCCTCCTCCTCCTCCTCCCCCTTCGCTACAACCACAGGGAAGACCACACCCACAAGCGCCACCACCACCCATCTTGGGGCGGCATTCCCAAAGGAGGCAGGTGACTCTGAAAGAGGTACAGGTCCTGATCGCCTTCCCCCTGTGGGGGAACAAGGGTCACCTGACTCAGAGCCAATCAGTGTGGAGATGGAGGGTAAGGGGGAGGGACAAACGTCCTCTTTGATCTCTGACCTGCAGGGGATTGCACTGCTGGGCCCTGATCGTCTAACTGCACATTTCTAACCCGACTAACTTAGAAAATGTAGAAAGGATTCACTCTGGTGCAACAATTTCCTGTTTGCAGCATGCATTTCTCCACCATATGTGACAAATCGAACATGTTTTATACATCCTCTAAAGTTTTTCATTGTTTTATTAATATGATGAGGTATGATGTGCAATAGTCGTGCCCAGAAATCAGCTTGTTTTGGTGCTGAGCAGAAGTGCAAATGGTGGTATGCATGCTAATAAATGAAAATGTTATTCCAGGGTGAACAATCATTTCGATTAGCTCACTAACACTTAACTCTTAATCTCCGTGAATGGCGGAAAGCATTGCTAATTAACTTTTATCACCTATATACTTCATTAGCCCCCGCGTTATATGCTGTGATGCAGAATTTCCCCGCCAGCCTCATTTCCAGGCCAGTGTGTGGAAACTGAAGAGCATATTGTTTACATGCAGAGTTAAACATGACTCCAGAGACGCTGACCATGAGTCCAATGCACTCAAACTTTCCAACAGGGATCTGGTACACGTTAACGATATTAAGTCTCGTCCATCACATTTCGTGAAGTAAACAAATCTGCCTTGTCTAAATTGAACTCCTCTAATCAAGTCGAAGAGATCACGCATGCACATTCCTTTTATTTAGCTCCACAAAGATAAATCTCCTTCAGATATTTCACTAACCGACGAATATAAATAAATAAAGCAAAGGGGAGTTTTTAAAAAATGTTGCTTGCACATTTGAACTGCAAAATATGGGATAGGATAAAAAGAAGGTGGCCTTAATTTAGTGTTTTGATGCAGCACTCTTGTAGCAGTCACTGCTCACTAATAACAGTATTTTGTTACAGCTGCTTGTCCCACTCTTTCTGAAATGAAAGATCTATATTTATCCGATATTTACCATGGATGTTCAATAACATATAGGCTCACGCAGGGTCATTTAAGAATCCATCAGTTTATGTTTTCTGCAGAATTTTTTGACTGCGTTCAGTTTAATACCACAACAAAGGAGCCAGGACTTGGCTTCCCAACAGTGATTAAAGGTTCCCGCTGATGAAGGCTGCAAAACATTGTCTAAACAAAAACAAGTTCCCAACACCTCCAGCTGCAAAGCATCTCAGTAGGTATTTCGAGCTCTTTGTTGTAAGTTAGTTTTCTTCTTTAAAGAAGCTTACTGCATGTTGCCGAGTTTTTTTCCAGGCAACAAGTTGAAATGACACCAGTGTTGTGCACATGCATGAAAGAAGAGAAACAAGCCCAGTTGTGTTGCTGCAGCTGCACAGGTCTTTTGTTTAGAGGCATAATGTCATCTGAAGTTGGAGAGTAAAAAAAAAAAGTTGTTAGTTATTTTGAAATGTGTCCCTTTTGCTCTCACTAGACCAAAGTTATATTCTCTTGTGTGAAGTCTGATTAGGTTTGAGGTTCATTTGCAGCAGTTTATTTTTTATCCACTTTCACACACCATCACCACTGTTCTCTGTCTGTTGCTAATACTTTATGAAGTAGCCAGGTGAACTGGAGATAATAGGATGTTACACTTGTATCTGCACCCAGATATTACTGACAGAATCCCTCTGTCATAAAGTAACGAATGGAGGCTACAGAGTTAACCTCAATAATAGGAAAGCTCATCTTACATATGGAGCAATTAGCTCTTTAAACTGCAAAAAAATGAACTTCAAAAACTGATGTGAGTGAAAAAATCATCTACTTTTGTCTCATCAGTGCTAAGCCTATTATAAACTAAGAATATGAAATGTATTAACGTTTTTTTTTTTATGCTAGATTTTTATTAACGTTGTTAGATGCTAATAGAGCTACCAACAAATGTTCTTTTTTTTCAGTAACAATTTTGTTCCACTAGCTTAACGTTTTTTTCTGTAAAAGTCATTTGGTTGTTAGACATAATCAAATAATTTATTCATAAGTAAAAACAGTTCCACATACTGTACGCTTTCTGAAGCTGCGACTATAAGATTGACATATAGGTTTCAGAGTAGACTATAACATAGGTATCATCAGAGAAGCAACCCATCGTTCTTGTGAATCCACTGTTAGAAATGCAAGAAATAGTTGATAACTTACATGTTACTTTTAATTGCTTTTTCTAGTTCATTCTAAACTATGAGAGAAACGTATTTTATGTCTCAATATTAGAGATAAGTTAAACGGCATAGAACTAAGAGATGATCAGGTCTATTTCCAGTTGAGTGAAACCATAACATTTAGATACATCTTCACCTTTTAATCCCTAAAAAGCAACAGATACTCAACAACTTTTCAGCAGTTTCTCAACTTGTCTCAAATCACTTTTTTTATATAACAGCAATAGAAAAATCTCAGTTTTTACAACAAAGATGAAAATAATTACCTTAATAAGTGGCACTTTACTTTAAATAAAACAGCATTTTTGTCTGTATAGAAAATAGGCAAATATGAATCTAATCATGGGTATAAAACACACCACTTTTGAAACAAATGCTGGTTTAAAAATAGAACTCTCTGCTTGATTGATTCATATTTAAATAATTTTTCACTCTACTGATAAAAATCTGCTAAGATGTAATTGTAAAATAATGTTTTTTATCTTCTTTTAGCTGCAATTCTAATGAAATTGACATTTAAACCCAAAGAAATGCCTCTGAAATAGGCTTTTAAAAACTAATTTAAGCTTTAAGAAAATATGTTGCTTCACCTGTTCTTCTGTCTCAAATGATCTCCTTTGAGAGATGGTTATACAGAATCTTTTCTCCAATCTATGGAATATTTTTTTAGTGCTTAGTTACGTCTGCTGGCTGATTCTTCTCTCTTTAGGGAGGCCCCAGGCATCCTTATATTACCAACTTACTATAAAGCCTAGAAAAGTTTTATATTGTAAAACCAATGTGCAGAAACAATGTAAGACATTTATTAGTAAAAAAAAAAGTTAAGTGAAGCTCTTGCCACCTACCTGACTTTATTTATGCCCTAACGTTGCTGCAGTTCAGCACATGGTGACTTCTGCAGAAGTCCATTGTATTAAATTATACAACACTTGGGAGTATTGCAGTTCGTAAATTTTGCTCAGTTCTTTAATATAAATATATCTTTGCTGATTTAAATCTTAGCATTTGACTGCTTTGTTCTGTAGCTAATATTGAAAACTACTGAGGTTATGGGCACTTAGATATTGGCAAATATATGAAGGTTGTTTTCCACCTTTAGAAGCTTAGATTGAAGCTTTGTTCAGCTCTCATCCTAAAGTTTACAAAGTTTATTTCTGCACATTCAGGAAGGAGATGGAGATAACTTAGAGAGGATCCTAGAACAAAGCAGCCTGTCTGTGTTTTGTTCTATTCTTGTGGCTTTGTGGACACAAAGACCGTGTCACTAGACCATAAAACCTCAGGAAGTAAAAGAAGCTTTCATTCACACAGAAAGCTGCTGTGGTTGCAATGATGAGCTTTTCTGGCCCAAATAAGAAAAACCTGCAACAAATAAATAACCAGCAGGAATCTGAACCCGACAGTCAGAGAACATGAGTGCAGGACGGGTATGTGATATGATACAGACCACGCAGCGGCACAATCCACTACTGCCAGAGGCTGTGACACGGCGTTTCAATCAGAAAGAGCGGATGGCTGGTTGATAATCTGGGAGAGGCGGTGGGCTGGAAGGAAAAAGCATCTATGCTCACAGGGATTCTTGTCCCACTATTTTCACTTCCTTTTTTATACCAGATACCTTTTCAACAGTCTCAGACATCTCTGCAGTAACAAGGTAGATATTAGGAAGCACAAAAAAAGAACAACCAGTTAGGAAAGGAGAAAAAACTCTTCTGAATAAAGGTTTCACAACACGCTGTACCGGTGCGCCAAGACATAGAGATAAGACAACGAAAGCTCATCCTTTGTCCTGTTTTAAGATTTCATTTTTTCCAAATAAATTTGTTGTAGCATACATTGACTTTGATGATTGAACCCATAAACATAAGGCTAAAATATCCACTCACAATAATGCAGTTTCTTTAATCATCTACATGTACACTGATTTATTAGTCAATATATAACATAAATCGCAAACTTTTGCCATTTATTATTGCTTTTTTATCTTGCAAAGATATAGCTTCTAAGATCATGAGCATTTATAGTTGTGTGTGTGCAGGCAACTCTTCTGCATGCTTCATTTAAAAACTGTGTCACTATGATTCATTTACACATTTTTACCTTAAATACCTTTATAAATAAAACTGCCTTTTTAGAGATAAGAGGAGAATCTAAAGATTATGTTTTGCAAAACAGCCCATGTCTAGCAAAACTGTTGCTTTGCAATAACAGATTAATTTATTTGAAACCTTAGATAAATATATATTTACCAAGGAGTTCCATTTTATTAGAAAAAAATGCAAATTACTAAGAAGGTTTAAGGAAAGAATTCCAAATATTTGGTCTGTTAGCAGAACTTTTCACCTAAAGAATTTACTTTCTGGTCCTTTTTTGCATTTTTAGGAATGTTTCTTTTTCTGTTATATCAGATGTTTGTTTTTTAAAGATGCTTTTAAATTACTATACTAATATTTTTACAGCAGATGACATGCAGCTTATGCTTTAACATACCTACATGAGGAGCTAGAATATAAATCTTCAAACAGGCCTTATTAAGGTGTTTCAAAAGAAGAGTTTTTTTTATTGCAAATATTAAGTTTCCTCCGGCTATATGAATTTAGTATTTAAATAAAAAGACATCCGGCAGCACTGATGTTTTTAATTAGGTTAGACCAGAAGTTGCTAATCAACACATAATTTTGTCTTATTAATCAAACAGCCCAAGTTGCAACAGTCAGAAACCTCATTTCTTAAATGTGCTAAAATCTCTTTATATTAAAGTCTGAAAAATCCTGATGGCTCAGATTAAAACAGAATCAGAAGTCTGCAAGTGTTTTA